GTTTCTAGTAATTCTGTCTCTTTTTAACTTTGAAATTTTTAAAAGATTTATTTATTTATTTTTAAATAATTATTTTATTTAACTTTATTTATTCATTTGTTTATTTCAGTTTTACCAGAGAGAGACAGAGTGAAAGAGAGAGAGAAAGTGAGAAAGCAAGCCGCCAAGTCCAGGACTCGAATCACAGTCGACCATGTGGGAATTGAGCACCTTTAACCACCATGCTACCTGCCAGCCCCCAGCAACTAGATTTAGTATTTTTTTAATTTAGATTTTGATAGGCTTTTAAAAATAAGTCAATAATATAATAATAGCTTATTTAATGTGTCGAGAAAAATTCAAATCATAGATGTACTTACAAACAGTGTTACTATTGGCATTAATTAACTTGCTTATACTTTAAACAAGCAAGATGCCAGATCTGGCACTCAAACTGCAGTCGGCCATGTGGGAGTCCAGTGCCTTTAAACAACATACCACCTGCCCTGGCCCCTTAACTTTGAAATTTCATTTGTTTAGTTATTTCATGAGAGAAAGAGATATTGAAAAAAGAGAAACACTTCCACAAGATCTTCACACTGAGATCTGAACCCAGTTTCAGCCAGCCTGGATCACTAGTCGACTACGTGGGAGTCCAGCGACATAGCCATTACGCTAACTGCTGGTTCCCATTTGTTTAGTTATTTTATGAGAGAAAGAGATATTGAAAAAAGAGAAACACTTCCACAAGATCTTCACACTGAGTTCTGAACCCAGTTTCAGCCAGCCTGGATCACTAGAGTTCAAGTGCGTACCCAGGGTGTACAGGGAGGCTCTGGGATGTGAACCTGGAGCCTTCACAAGTGGGTTCAGTTGCATTACTGTTATGCCACTGTCTGGCCTGTCATCCTCTCTCTCTCTTTTTTCCTCTAAGGAATTATTTAATCTTATTTATTATTGTTATTGTTTTCACTTGCTACAGGGCACACATACTCACTGGAGAGTCAGAGAGAGAGAGAAAATAAGAAAACAAGCTGCTAGGTCTGGGACTCAAACTGCAGTCGGCATGTGAGAGTCCAGCATCTTAACCACTATGTCACCTGCCAGCCCCCCATTATTCTCTCATCACCACTTTTCCCTCTTTCAACAGCTAAATGTTATATTCTCTAGGAACAAGTTCTAGGCATCTTCTTACGCTACACATTCTTTGTAGATGGCATCATCTGCACCTGTGGCTTTAACACCATCTGTGGGCAGACAAGTCCTAAATTTATATGACTAGCTCAGACCTCTATTCTGAGCTCCAGACACGTGTATCACTGCACCACCAAATGGATATCTAAGTTAGCATAGATAACACTGAACTCTTGATCTCCTCCATCCTTAAATTTGCTCCTCCTTCAGAATTTCCCATCTCAGCAAATATCACTTCCATTGATTCAGCTGCCAGAAACCTGAAAGTCATTCTTGACTTCTCTCTTTCACCTCTCATCTTTACAAGCCTGTTGATTCTACCTCTGAAATATATGTCAAATTCAAATCTATTTACTTTTCCTTATCTCCAATGCCACCACTCTGGGCAAAGCCAGCACTATTTCTTACTAATGCCACCTCCATGCTCAGCACTCTTCAATCCATTCTCCATAGCCCAGAGAACTCTTTTAAAAATACGAATTTGGGGGGCCAGCAGATGGCACAATGGTTATATCACTGGACTCCCACGTAGTCAACTGCGGTTCAGGTCCCATCATGCTGGATGCATGTGCGTGCATGCCCAAAATCCTGAGAGGAGAACAGAGAAGAGATTGCAGTGTGGCCATCCCCCCTAGAGAGTGATTTCTTGCTTTCTGTCTCTGTCTCTGTCTTTCCCTGTCTCTCCAGTGAGTATGCATGCCCTATAGCAAAAACCTCTCTTAAAAAAACAAAACAAAACAACATGAATTTGGGCCAGCCTTGTGTCCTGGTGGTTAAAGGAACTGGATTCCACATGGCCAATATTGTGGTTCCAGCGCTGGCCCCGGTGGCTTGAAAAACACACAGATTTATGCATGCCCCAAATCCTGACAGGATGGAGAAGTGGAGGACAAGGGATTGCAGTGTGACCACGCTTCACTGAAGGAGTGTTTTTTACCTCTCTCTGGTGAGCACATGTACTCTCATGCAAACAAACAAACAAACAACAACAACAACAACAAAACATGAATTGGGACCAGATGGTAGTACAGAGGTAAAACAAGATAATCTGTGGGACAAGCACATGATGTAATGGTTACGTTGCTGGATTCCTACATGGCCAACTGTGGTTAGAGTCTTGGGCCTGTTGTCTTGAGACACACCGAGCACGTGTGCGTGCGTGCCCAAAATCCCAAGAGGAGAATGGAAGAGAAGGGATTGTGGCATGGCCATCCCCCTGGGTGGTGATTTCTTGCTTTATGTCTCTCTGTCTCTTTCTCTCTGGTAAACGTGCACACCCTATAGCAAAAATCTCTTTAAAAAAAAAAAAAACCCAAATCAGGATTCTCTGTGAGACTGACCCACAGGAGGTTCTGGCTTCTTGTCCAGAGTCTTCCCTGAGTACATCAGGCACATGCATGCCCATGATCTGAGGCTGGCTGAGGCTAAAGTGGATCCTCACTGGGGGTGCTATTTCTCTGTGTCTCTTGTGGAAAGAATAAATAAATAAAAACTTTAAAAAACTGGGGGACCAGCAGCTAGCGTAATGGCTATGTCACTGGACTCCCATGTAGTCGACCCCAGTTTGAGTCCCAGTCCCAGTGGCTTAAACTTACACTGGGCACATGTGCATGCATGCCCAAGATCCCGGGAAGAGAATGGAGGAGAAGGAATTGTGGTGTGGCCATCCCCCCTGGGGCGCGATTTCTTACTTTCTCTCTCTCTCTCTCTCTGTCTTTCTAGTTAGCACACGCGTCGCGTTCTATAGTAAAAAGCTCTCCAAAAAAAAAAAAAAAAAACCAAAAAAACTGGAATAGGATCAGTAACTATCATTGTACCTTGTATTAAATTCCAAATCTTCAGGACCAGCAGATAGTGTAATGGTTATGTTGCTGGACTCCCATGTGGCCAACCAATGTTGAGTACCAGACCTGGAGGCTTGAAACTCACACCGGGCACAGGTGTGTGCCCAAGATCCCAGGAGGAGAATGAAAAAAGAAGGGATTACAGCAAGACCATCCCCTCCGGGGGGTGGTGGTGGTGGTGATTTCTCACTGTCTGTCTGTCTGTCTCTGTCTCTCCAACGAGCACAAGTGCTCTGTCTAGCAAAAATTTCTCTTAAGAAAAAAAAAATCCAAATCTTCAGGATGGCCTGTACTGCCCTGAGTGGTCTGCCCTGCCTCCCAGCCTATCTTCTGCCCACTCCTTCCTCAGTGCTTCTGCAACACTGGAGCCCTTTGTGAATCTCTACACCAGACGCTTCATAGCCTCGAGGCTTATGCGTGTGCTGTTTTTCTGGGCTTGGAATATCTTTCTTCCCCTCCTCTTTTCCTGGCTAACTCCTTGTGGTCAAACTTCAAGTCTCAGCCTAAAGGTCATTTCCTCAGTGAGACTTTGCTTTTTTTTATTTTTTTTAAGTTATTTTTATTTTTTCAGTCTGCTATGTGGATTTGGGCAGTGACTGGAGAGAGACAGAGAGGGAGAGAGGGAGAGGGAAAGTGAGAAAGCACCCCCAGAGAGGATGGCTGGCCACAGTCCCTTCTCTTCATCTCTCTTCTAGGGATTTGGGGCACATATATGCGCCTAGCATACTTGTCAAGCTGCCGGGGCCAGACTCGAAACAGGCAGCTGGCCTAGTGGGATCCAGCTGCCTCAACCACCATGCCACCTGGCTGGCCCTTTTTAAAAAAAAAAGTTGAGTTAAGAAATAATAATTGTATGTATTTATTTAGTGGGTACAGTGTGATGTAAATAACATCATAGAATGATCAAATTGGGCTAATTACCATGAGTGAGCTTCCCCCTTTCTCAATCTGGATCCTTTGTTATTTAATAATATTCTCTTCTTTTTCCTCCAAGGATTTACCACAGAGTGTGTGTGTGTGTGTGTGTGTGTGTGTGTGTGTGTGTGTGTGTTGTGGGCCAGCTGGTGGCTTGGTGGTTAAGGCAGCTGGATCCCACGTGGATGACTGTGCATTTGAATCCTGAACCTGGCAACTGGAAAAATAGGATGGGAGCATGTATATGCCCAAAATCCTAAAAGGAGAGAAAAATGGAGGAAAGGGACTGCAGTGTGACCATTCTCCACAGGGGAGGAGGAGGAGGTGCTTCCTCACTTTCCCACTGTCTCTCTTCAGTGAGCCTGCATGCCACTGGCAGAATTTGTGTGTGTGTGTGTGTGTGTGTGTGTGTGTGTGTGTGTGATTTATTTGTTTGCTTATGTGTTTTGCTATTTAACCTGTGCGCTGTTGAGAGCAGGAATTATGTCTTCTTTTTTTTAAAAAAAAAAGAATTATTTTATTTAACTTTATTTATTATTGTTACTATTTTCCAGTTTGACCAGAGAAAGAAAGAGAGGGAAAGAAAGTGAGAAATCAAGCCACTGGGCTCAGGACTGAACCACGGTCAGCCGTGTGAGAATTCAGCATCTTTAACCACCATACCACCTGCCAGCACCAGGAATTACATTGTTTGGTTATTTTTCTCACTCTTGTTTCTCTAGTGCTTGAAACATATTGGGCAGCAATAAATATTTCTTTATTTTTTCATTTTTAGTTTTTGCTATAGGGCACATGCACTCTCCAGAGTGAGAGAGAGAGAAAGTGAGAAATTTCTCTCGAGGGAGTGGTGGCCATGCCACAATCCCTTATTCTCCATTGTCTTCTTGGGATTTGGGGCATGCATACACAGGTGTCCAGAGTGTTTTTTGGGTCTGGTCACCTAAACGGCCACGTCACCTGCTGGTTACAGTAAATATTTCTTGAATTTTAATTTCTTTCTTAAATATTGAAAGAATAAAAATATAGATTGAATTTGAAGACATTCTCTTTTTTCCTCCTTCTCTGAAGGTACCAGAAGGCAGCTGAAGAAGCAAGCATGGACAAGAGGAGAGGTGTAAGTATTCTGAAAGCGCCGAGACACGTGGGGCTTCATGCGCAGGGCCTGCTGGCCGAGCCACCTGCCGCCTCTGTGGGACTTGGGCCCAGTGTCAACAGAGCTGGACGTTGTGCCAGCTGGTGGGAGCTATGAGCCATTTGCTCAGGAAAACTTGGCTAGGTGCAGGGCATCTTATTTTCTCCCTGAGGTTCTCCTTTTGAACCACTTTTTGTTCTCTGTATTGAGTAAAGGACAGAAGGCCAAGTGCTTTGCCTCAAGTTAGTAAAATGGCTTACTACCTCTGCTCACATTAGAACACTGAGCTTCCTATGCTTTTTCTAGGCTCACCTATTTCTCCATATCAGACAACCAGAATTCCTATATCTCTGCATTTAAATGGTAGTACCTATGCAGCTGTTGTTATCCTCTGGGTTCTTTGTTTAAGGCAAATGTCTTGCCCCAGTCTAGTTAGTGTGATTCCCAAGTGCAGGATTTATTCCATGCAAGAACTTCCAGAATAGGCTCCCTTCTAGTACGCATTGTCCACTGTCTCTGCTTGCTAACTTCCAGCTGGTCTGGTTAGTATATTTCTTTTGAAATATTATTGGATTTAGGGATCAGCAGTTGGTGTAATGGCTGTCGCTGGACTCCCATGTAGTTGACTGCAGTTCAAGTCCCCGACCTGGTGGCTTAAACTCAGCTGTGCCCAAGATCCCAAGAGGAGAGTGGAAAAGGGATTACAGCATGGCCATCTCCCCTGGAGGGCGATTTCTTGGTTTCTGTTGCTCTGGCAAGAGCACACACCCTATAGCAAAAACCTCTCCAAAAAAAGAAAGAAAGAAATCTTACTGGATTTAATCTTATGAGGAAATAAACTCACCTTTTTGGGCACGATTTAATTTGACTGGCATGACAAAACATCCTTCTGGCAGTTTTCAGCACCTAACCTATTTAAATTCATGCATGGCGTGGCCTGTAAATTTGTTCTAAGGGTGATACTGACCAGGTCCTTGGCTTAATTTTCTTGTAATTTGAAAATGGATCTTGTCTGGTGCGTTGTAAAGGTACCATTACTTCACTGAACTGCTGGTTTCTGTTCTTCGCTTCTCTTTCCTGCTTGTTTTTTTTGTTTGGTTTTGTTTTTTAGGTTTTTGCC